CCTGTTTGACCTGAAGCCCATTGCCTACACCATACACCTGCACACTGCCTGGATCTTCATAGACAACCATGTCTCCAGACATGAGGGTGTGGACGAGGGCAAAGCAGGTCTTTTTCATGCCCCTGCCAGGCTGCTCTGCCTTTAGCCACACGCTGGTATTAACGCTGTGCACCTTCAACCTTGACTTGCACAACCTGTGTGCTTAAGAGGCAAGGTTTGCTGGGTGAGCAGGGTTGGGAGCGGCAGAGCAGGCCTTCCTCCTGCCCCCTCCTCAGCGCTACACAACTGCTGAACCCAGAATGGAACTCAACGCTGAAGGACATCAAGTTCCAATGGCATGCCTACATTTCCTGAAGCACAGGGCCCTCTGAGGATTCATGAGGGTAAGCCTGTCCGCCCCCCGCCGCCGCTTTATCCCCACCTAATTTCTTAGACCCGGAAGAAAGCAGATGTGAATCCCATCCATGCCACTCAGACGCTGTACCCTGAAAGGCCATCCTTCCCATGTATAGTATTTGAGGAAGTAGAAAGCAGTGCCCCATATCCAGGACAGAATGTTACTTATATAGCCAGAAATGAAAACCACTTCCTCTCCACCACAACACTTAGGATATGAAAGAGCCTCTCGCCCTCTACTGGTATCACACCAGTATGTGGTCCCTGGTGTCGTCTGAGAATAGGATACTGCCTTCAAGACACACTGCTCCTCATTTAAAGTGAACAGCGTTCTAGAAGGAAACATTTCATGAACTCTATGACCCATGGTCTAAACCAGAAGAGTGGTAAAAAGAGACAAGAGCTTCATAAGGGTGTTATGAGAGGTGTTCGTGAGTGTCAAGGTTTTCGAGAGCTAAAGCGAATTTGTTCAAACTGTAGCCGCCGCGGCGCGTGGCTCACGCCTATAATCTTAGCTCCTGGAGCTGAGGGGCGGATTGCTAATGGTCAGAGATTCAAAACCACTGAGCAAGAGGGAGACATGCCGGGCCCGTCTCTACTATAAATAGAAGAAATTAATTGAGCCAACTGACTGATATATATAAAATTAGCGGCATCGAGGCCTGTTGTAGCGCGCAGCTACTCGAGGTCTGAGAGCCAGGAGGAGTCGGCGTTGAGCCCAGGAGTTGAGGTGCGTGTAGCTAGAGGAGCGCCGAGTGTAGCGTCGAGCGAGCGCTGACGAGGACAGAGAGCGAAGCCACGGCACTCACTCGAGCCTGGACAACAAAGCAAGACTCTGTCTCAAAAAAAAAAACAAAAAAAAACTGTAGCCCCACTTGAGGCTGGATAAGAAATCAGAGAGCCAGAAAAGACCTCCTGTCCATGTGGCCCCGAATGGCTAAGTGGGAAGACAGGGCTGCAGAAGATGAGAGAGAGCTGTAGCAGTCAGGGAAAGGAGGCTGGCGCTGAGTCCAAGCTGAACCCTGCAGGCTAGAAGTCATTTAGAACCAAAAGATTTTTAAGACTAACCTTATCAAATCTTAAACTAGTAACCAGAAAGTTTAGCAGCCTCACATTTCAGACCCAAGAACTAAATCAGTGGCTGTCCACTCTGACAACCCATGAACACCACCTTTGAAAAAGACAGATGCCTAACCTCCACCTAGAAATTCCAAATCAGGAGGCTGTGGGGAGGCCCTGCAAGGGGCCACCAGCGATGCCAACCAATCCCCGGAATGAAGGGCCACTGGGTTAAATCCCAGAGCCGTATTCACACCCCACTTCCAACCCATTCACCCCCGGACCTTTCCCAGGACCCAAACCGGCCTCGAGTGTATCGAGTCACCGTCCGGCTTTCCTCCAGGAACTTCAGTTGTTCCAGAAGTGCCTGACTGCAAATTCCTCACCAGGACTCCATCTGCCCCTCAGCCAGGGCATAAAAGTGGGCATAAACATTTCCACGAACCACATTTATTTAGGGATAATATACGGAAGGAATTGTTTGGATTGGTTGCTACATCCGTGACTCTTCCCAGCAACGCATACACAGCGAACACCACCCACACAGAGGGTCTGATCCGATGGAGTGCTTGAGGCCACCGTCAGCCAGGTCCCCCCAGGCTAGTGTCCCATTCCAGAGGGGCCACGTCTGTGTTCCCCTCCCCTCATCAGGGCCTGTTCCTCCAGGGCCGTCCAGTCTTCCTGCAGGCTCCGAACTCTCCATCTTCAGCCCTCTGACCAAGCAAGGAGACAGGAGGACAGCTGGGAGGGCAGAGAGTCTAGAGTAATGGGCAGAGCAGCTCAGGACACACAGAGGAGAGAGTCTCTGCTACTACTACGATGAAGGGAACTCTCCTTTCTTCTCAAAATGCTCGCTCTGTTTTTGGCACTCCCCCAGCTGACTTATTTTCAAGTGGGTTGTTCAGATCTGACCTCCGAGAATGCCAAACTGGGTGCTGTGGGGGAAGAGGAGAAAGAAACAAAGCACACTTGTAAGAAGCAGTGCAACGGTAACAGCAGTGCCATTCACTGAGCTCTGTTCATGAGCCTGGCCCAGTTCTGAATTTCACATGCACTGTCTCATTTGCAGGTGTTATTATTCCCATTTTAAAGATAAAGAAACTGAGGCTCAGAGAGGCTCAGCTACCTGCCCAAGACCATCTAGCTGCCAAGTCACAGACTAAGGATTTGGACCCAGGTCTGCCCAGCTGCAAAGCTTGTGTTCTCAGCCATTGCATATACAGCTTCAGAAAGGAGAAACAGCAAGGTGCTCGCTACATTTATGTAATTTATTATTATATTTATTCAATCAATTCAACCACAAAAAAGATGAAAGGTCCTTTGTTACCCCTGCTCCCTACCAGAGACTTCCTATACCCGAAGTCTCAAGCAGCCTGCAGTCTCGAATTCACCCATAGGCTTATTTAACTTTGCACAGAATGTTTTAAAATAATCTGGCCAGCCCCTGAAGGCCTTTGAGTTTGTGGCCTGGGCCTCTTACCACACTCACTCTATTGGATCCAGTTCAAGAGGACAGAGATATTGTTTCCCTCAGAGTCTAAACCACAAGCACCTAGCACTGAACCCGGGAGAGGTAGCTGGGAAGACAAGTGTTACTCCTATGTCATATCTAGCTCAGAGACTTTCTGTAAACAGTGTCACCCTGGCTGGTGACACACTCAGGAGTAGCCACAAGGCAGCTGTATCAGCAGGTTTCTAGAAGCCAGGATGAGGCCTACCAGGTGACTGCAGCATCACATGGCAATGATGAGAGAGGGATGCAGGGGGGAAATGACTCTATTCAACTGCAACCTCAGAGTGGAGCTCATGTTTCACTTGGTGGCTCCAGGCCAGGTCTCTGAGCTCACACCTCCCTGGCAGACCTTTCTCCGCTGCTGCCATCAGCTGGGAGTCATGTGTCCCTGGTGCAATAGGAACAAACACAGCCCATCCCTCCACAAGTAGAGGAGACAGCCTTCCTGAACCCAGCGGAACGCTGCTCCTTAGTGGGCTGCGTGCCTATAATTAGTCTACAAATAGCATCGAGCTCATTGCCAGCTCACTCCTTTTGTCCCTACCCCTACTCACTGCACGGCTGCGAGGTGCTGTACTTCCCTGGGGAGCTACAGAAGTCGGAACAAAGTGAAAGTAGGAATCAGACTCCCTATTATGGTATGAAATCTAGCATGAGCCCTGCCCCGCAGTTAGATTATATGAGGGTATAAAAAGTCACAGATTCTAGGCAGTGGCTCACACCTGTAATCGCAGCACTCTGGGAGGCCGAGGCAGGTGGATCGTTTGAGCTCAGGAGTTTGAGATCAGCCTGAGCAAGAGTGAGACTCCGTCTCTACTAAAAATACAAAGAAATTAATTGGCCAACTAAAAAATATATAGAAAAAAAATTAGCCGGGCATGGTAGCCCACGCCTGTAGTCCCAGCTACTCGGGAGGCTAAGGCAGGAGGATCGCTTGAGCCCAGAAGTTTGAGGTTCCTGTGAGCTAGGCTGATGCCACGGCACTCTAGCCCGGGCAGCAGAGTGAGACTCTGTCTCAAAAAAACAAGTCACAGATTCTAAAAGATCTAAGAATTGGAAGGAACTTTACTTTGACCTTTTGACAGGAGGGAAAACAATCCCTGGCAACACAACACTTGCCCCAGGATCTCATTGTACTCTCTGTATTAGGTTTTGTTTAATCAGGGTTGAACTAACTGGAGAGGCAGAGGTGTTCCTCCTCCCCGTGGGAAAGCCACTGTTCACCTCTTTCACCATTAAAGTCAATAATCTCTGCAGACGACCTTTAATCCTCAAGATTGGGTATGAAGGCAACAAGTTTGAGAGAAGTACTCCTCTCTCCAGCAGAGCTTCCGTTTCTCAGACTTTCCTACTACTTAGGAAGATCTCTGCCCTCAGCCGCCTCCCCAGGTGGCCTGGCCACATCCACTACCAATGACTTTGCCATGTCCTTTCCACCTCCTTCCCCCACCTCTAGACACCTGGCTCAGCTGGGGCCAGAATCATCCTCACCATGGTCATGTAGGTGGCCTCTGATTTTCCGCTTTCGTCTTCTGCCTCGATCACCTCCCGTGTAGTTATCGAAGTATAAATGTGTTTCTAGAGGGAAAAAATGGTACGAAAGTTCCTAAAAATCAAGTGAATCTTACACACTGGAGAAAAGGCTCCTCCTATTCACTGGGCATCAACCACCAAAACTGGTGAGTTCAGAGGGTTACTGAGAGCTACAGAATTATCATCAATAATGATAATTCAGCCTTCAGTCTTCTTGAAAATTAACTGTCAGCAAAGAGCACTATTTTAAGAATCAAAGTCGGTGCTTCAAAAGCCAAATATCTTTGTTTAGATGGGTGTTTAGGTAGCAGCAGGAAATCCTTATCTTGCTAAATTACTTGTATTCTGTGGTTATTTCCTTCTAATTGGAGTCATGGCAGGATGGCATTAATCAGCAGCTAATTGTCATCATTCCCCTCAGAGGGTTTACATGTCTGGGCTGAACCTGGCATGTCTGAGGTCGGTGGCATTTTGTGATTCATGGTTCTGTCACTCTTTGGGAAAGAAATATTATTCAGTGCCAAATTCTCAGGCTTCTGGAGGCCCCCACACCATGTTGGGAGAAAATCCTACTCTTGGGACAAACATAGCCCAAAAGATAGGGAAATATTCACAGAGGAGTTTTTAAAAAATTACAAAAAGAAAAGGGAATCGGAGTTAAAGGAAATTAATCCATTTCTCAGTCACTAGTTGCAAAGTCCCTGAATATTAAATCTTAACCATTGACTTCTTAACTCCTCAATGTAGCATGATTCTTCATTATATTTACACAGTGCCTCATAGATTACAAAGCATTTGCGTATCATTTTATTTGAACCTTACAACAACCCTGTGAGGCAGGCTGGGCAAATATGCTTGTCCTCACTCTCATTTTGTTGGCGAGGCTCAGGGAGGTGGCTGAGCTTTCTGACTCCTAGTCCAGTGCTCTTTCTGCAGCCCACTACCAGGACCTGCTGCCCAGGGGCTGGGCTGGCCCCGCCCATTGCCACCCCTCTACTCCTCAGAGGCTCTCATTTCAGTGGTAAAGCCTTCCTCCGTCCCTGCTCTGTGCCCGGCACTGGCCTACGAGCTGAGACATACTTTGAGGAAGACACAGTTCCCAGGGAATGCTGACGGCCCAGGCCTGCATCTACTGAGAGTTTGGTGCTGGGGCATGTGTCCGCCTCTCCCACACTGGGCACCGCAGCAAGAGGGCAGAGTTGCCACCTACCTCTGGATTAGCCTTCTTCGTGTTCTCCAGGCTATTCAGCGAGGTTGTAGAATATACTGACCTGCAAGGCGTGGAAAGTATATGGAATTAACCAGCCGGCTCTGCTTATTCGAGGACGCCTACCTGAGACCTCTACCTGGCTTTGTGAAGAGTGGTCCCAGAAAAGGAACTGTTCTCGCCAGACTCCTACAGCCAGTGCTGCCTGGCTCACCTTGAAACCTGAGAAGTGCATCTCTTCTAGTGAAGAACAAGAAGCCATTCTGGTGATAGCTTAGGCTGAAAAACAGCTTCCAGTTCTCTGTTACTGCTCTAACAACCTTTAGTCCATAGAGGAAGACGTCATTTTAAGTGAACGAGTAGAGCAGCATTTATGAGGATGAGGAGATATGGCCGAACCAGCAGGGGGCAGCAGAGGCTCAGCAGGACCCCAGTCCAAAGAGCTCCTGGCCTCTCCTGGGGCCAAGGGGAGTTATCCCTACAAACACCCCCCTAACTGGGAGTCTGGCCCCTTCCCCGCCTGGGGCCCTTTGCCTTTGATCTCTTGTCCATATGCCACCTTCTGCATAGGTCAGCTTTTGGCCTAAGGCAAAGCTAGAAAAAAACAGGAAAGGAATGGAGAGGAAAAGAGAGGAGAGGAGGGAAAAGAAGGAAGAGGAGAGGGAAGGGGAGGGGAGAGGAGGGGAGAGGAGAGGAGAGGAGAAGAGGGGAGGAAAAATCAGGGTTAAAGCTTAGAAAAGAAACCATATTATTTTGGGTCTCAAAGTGGACTTTTTCCCCATATTTTCTGATTATAAAGTTGTATATTCTCATTGTAAGATAATCTAGATAACACAGAAATGTTGGAAGTTGAAGCTCCCACTAAACCCCTCACCTCATGGCATCCACCTTCTTCTTTATCTCAAATACCACTCTTAGTATTTTAGAATTATCCTTCTAAATCCTCTCTCAATGCAAGCATAAGTAAACTCACATGAAATATATTTAGTATCTATGTTGCTGAAGTGAGCACTATGTTATTTTTCTCCTTTATAAAAATGAGATCATACTGTATATTCTATATTATTACCCCTTGGGTATCTTGCCATGTCATTACGTACAGGGTTGTGCAGTGTTTCATCGAGTGAGACACTGATTCACTGACTCACTGCCTCTCTGACAGGCACTGAGGATGATTCCAATTTTTAATTGTAAACGATGCTGCAGTGACCATGTTTATGCACAAATCTCAGTGTATTTATCTGATTTATTTTATTTTATTTTTATTTTTTTTTGAGACAGAGTCTCACTTTGTTGCCCAGGCTAGAGTGAGTGCTGTTGCATCAACCTAGCTCACAGCAACCTCAGACTCCTGGGGTCAAGCGATCCTGCTGCCTCAGCCTCCCGAGTAGCTGGGACTACAGGCATGCGCCACCATGCCCGGCTAATTTTTTCTATATATATTAGTTGGCCAATTAATTTCTTTCTATTTATAGTAGAGACGGGGTCTCGCTCTTGCTCAGGCTGGTTTCGAACTCCTGAACTCAAACGATCCGTCCATCTCAGCCTCCCAGAGAGCTAGGATTACAGGCGTGAGCCACCGTGCCCGGCTGATTATTTCTTTAGTATAACCTACTAGACATGGAAATGCTGCCATTTCTTTTGAGGGAAACTGAGGCCCAGAGAGGGCAAGTAAGCTAATAATGGAACCAAGTTTTCCAGCTCTCCATTCAGGGCTCTCAGCATGCCCAGAACAAAGATCCCTCAGAGAAGCCAACCAAGTTCAAAACCAAATCCAAGAGCAAATCAGGACACTCAAAGGTCAGCATTATTTCATGGAGTTCCTTTCCCATTGACACATTTCAACAAGAGGGTCAATCCCCCCTACCGGCATATGTCATCAACAGTTGGGTCAACTGAGGGACAAGGATCTGCCAACAGCCAGTGAAATACTAGTGTCCATGTCAGAGCATCTGGGTGTCTCCAAGACCCTGGGAGAACTATTGATGAAATTCAGGCCTTTAAAAACATATTTGAGCTGGCCAGGCGTGGTGGCTCACGCCTGTAATCCTAGCTCTCTGGGAGGCCGAAGTGGGTGGATTGCTTGAAGTCAGGAGTTCGAAACCAGCCTGAGCAAGAGGGAGACCCTGTCTCTACTATAAATAGAAAGAAATTAATTGCCCAACTAATATATATAGAAAAAATTAGCCGAGCATGGTGGCACATGCCTGTAGTCCCAGCTACTCGGGAGGCTGAGGCAGGAGGATGGCTTGAGCCTAGGAGTTTGAGGTTGGTGTGAGCTAGGCTGACACCATGGCACTCACTCTAACCTGGGCAACAAAGTGAGACTCTGTCTCAAAAAAAAAACAACACCACATTTGAGCAATAATTCATTTAGAACATGAGGGTATCCATTCAAAAATACCCTCTCATAATTGGAATGTGGTGCTTTAAATCAAACCACTGGCAACCCTCAAGATCTTAGCTTCTATGTGAAACATACAGTGTGGATAATTCAAATATCATTTCTCTCAGGCAATGAAGTTCTTACATGAACTCCATGATAGTTCTTGCATAAGATTTATATCTTAATTATGTTCTACATATAGCCCCACTTGTAAGGGAGTTTGTAATCTTTGCATAACACCAAAGTGAATGAGGTTGGTGGAGGAACGTCCAAGTATTTTCAGGGGCACAGTGAGCAAAGAGGGTGGGGTTACTATACAATGACATCTAATGTGACAACCACAGATGATTCCATTTAAAAATCTCCATTCTGCGAGGATGGCACAGTTAGGACCCTATACTCTCTTCTACTTAGCGTTAGAGGCAGCCCTGTACCCCCAGCCTCCCAACCCAAGGGGCAAGGGCAGCCCTGTACCTCTTATTCCCATGGGTCCTCTTCACGATCAGGATCAAAACAGTGAGCAGCAGGATGGTGCCGCAGAGGATCCCCACGATGATCACCATCTGATCACCACCCAGAACCACGGGTCCAAGGGCTGCTGGGGTCACCAATGCTTGGGAAAGGAGAAAAGCAACAAGAGGGTCTCAATATCCCAGAAAAGAGCTGGGAGCCCCATCAATTCTACACCAAGTAGCAACAGCCAGGTCAAAAGGCCAGACTCCACCTTGTATCAGGACAGTGGGGACACTGTCTTCATTACCTTGAGAACCAAAAGTCTGACTCCCTTGCTTACCCTAAAATGTAGACTAAGGTGGATGGGAGAAGAGGCTAGCCCTTCATCTATACTAGAGCCTCTTTTGACATCAACAATTCTGTTTTAAAATTTGGTTTACCAAATGGCCTAGAAATAACAGGCCTCTTAGAGGCTGCTGATCTTTCTATAGGCAAGTGATTGTATTCAAAAGAACATGTGCTACAACTCTTAGCCCCGTAGTCATGATACCAAGTAAAGCCTTCAGAGGCACTTCTGCCCATATGGTACCCTTTACTCATCTCCTCTGTTCACTCTATATATATATAACGCCTCCTCAGTGGCAGACAGCACTAGGCACAGAGGATTCAAAGATGAATGATGCCTGGTCCCTGCCTCCAAGGAGGGAGACAAACATGTGAACAGAAAACCACAGGCTGCCATAGGTATGACAAAGGTCCATATGGGGCACAGAGGGACACGGAGAAAAGGGTGCCCAATTCTACATGGAGCAGAAGATGAGAATTTGCCAGCAAAGATTTTAAAGTTTAAACTGAATCTCAAAGGGAACATCCAGTTTTTTTGGCGGACAATATGGGGAAGGACAGAGGGGATGTTATAAACAAGGACTGGAGGCCTGATGGGTGGCGCTTTTAGGAATGAGAAATAGTTCAGTGCGTTTGGCACAAAGGCTGCGTCTGTGGGTATGGTGGGTGGGGAATTAGGCTGAAGAGATGACAGGATCCAGGTTAGAAAGGACCTTGATTATCTCAACCAAGAGTTTGGCTTTCTCTCTGTAGGCAAAGGGAAAACCATTGAAAGATTATAAGCTGTGGAACAGAAAGTTCTCTTTTTTTTTTTTTTTTCACAAGAAAGTTCTGATTTGTGATTTGGAAAGATGGCACCAAGAGCCAGGATGAATGGCAGGAAGAACGAGAGGCAGTGGCTGAGAATGAAGGCAGAGATTTGTTAGAGGCCTACAGTCCAGGACAGAGACAAAGACAGACAGAACCGAGGTAGGAGCAGCAGACTGGAAGGAAGACAGCTTCAAGAGTGAGTAGCAGGAATGAAGTTGTGAGGTTCCTGAGAATGATGCCATCTGAGCACGGGGACCAGATAAGCCCAGGGCAGAAGGGACAGAGGTAGGAATGGGAGAGGTGTGGATATGTTTGTGGGTGGAGTATTTTCTCTGTGGAGTGAGGGGAGGATTCCTGAGAGTAAAGCACACACAAAGACGACAGTTCTTTAAGATATCCGCCTGTCCTGCTTCCCTCTGCTATTAACAAGAAGGTGCCTCCATAGACTTCAGTCTCTGGCCTGGGGGACCGAGGTATGTTCCATCCTCACCCCCATCTCCCCGGCCCCCAGCCAAGCACAGCCAACCCCTGAAGGCCCTAGAGAGAGGCAAAGTCCACAGGCCACATCCTGACTGCTAACTGGGTTGTGGTTTAACTTTAACCCCTCACTTATCAACCTCTCTCTGTCAACACAGTTGAGTCTATTCTCCCACATGCTACTGGCCTTGATGCACACTGTTTGCCAGAATACAGAACCTTTGGCCAGAAAACCCCTCCATTTTTGGTTCTGGTACCTTCCAGTTTTCTCTCTGTTCTTTGCTGTCTCTCACCAGGATCGTTTTCCCTTCCACTACAGAGCATACAGTGCCTCCCTTAATGCCGAGTAAAATGACTTTGGACATCAACTCTAGTTCATCTCTGCGCTCCTGTGTCTTCACATCAGTGGTCTACGCTGGCAATGAGTGGCATCTGGCAGAGGGTTGGTGTTCACTAAATATTAGCTCCCTTTGCCTTGGCCTAGCAGCAGGGCCAGAACTAGGGAGGCAGGCAAGGCACCTACGGAGCCAAATATAAGCAGGCCTCACTCTCAGGGTTGTGCATCTGAGTGCTGCCCCCTTCCGTTCTATATCCTAGAAGCATCTCTGGCCTCACTCTAGTCCTGGCCCTGCTTACCAGCTAGGAGGTCCCTGAGCCCTCTGCAACCAAATGTACATACTGTGATGCCTGTCCTGAATCACATGCAGCACAACAGTTTTCTTGAACACCAGGTTTCCCAGGTGGATGCTGCAGGTGTAGGTCCCCCTGTCAGACTCCTTCACTCCTTGAAGCATGATGGAACCGTCATTGTGGGAGACGTCCCCCAGCAGGTTTACACGGTTCTGGAAGCGGCCTTGGTTCTGGAAGTTGCCCCAGTTCTGGGGGGACCCCATGGGTATCTTGAGTTTGGGGTGGTAGCGTAACACTACCTCCTCCTAGAAGGGAAAGGCAAAAGGTATGTGATGGTGATGACCAGACGGGGGAGCAGGGAAGAGAGGGCGGAGGGGAGATCTCAGGATGCACAAGGGCCTGTTGTGTGAAGGCAGGAACGGTGTCATCAGAAAGCATTAGGTGACACACGGTCACCACGCACACGTGTGTGCATGCACGTGTACTTGTGAAGGACATCACCAAGCCATGAACAACTGTTCCATCTGGAGAGAGGAGTGAAAAGTGGAAATGAGGGGCTTTCACTTTTTGCGCTTCTCCAATAAAAAAAAGAAAAAGTACACTTTTACTTTTTATGACATTTCCAGTTGGATTTCCACAGGCACCTGAAACATGTCTACAACTGAACTCATTATCCCCCAGACCAGTTCTTTCCCGTCCATCCCATTTTAGTAAATGGCAATGCCAATACATCCTTAATTTTTCCCTCTCTTGAACAACTCACATCTAACCCCTCAGCAGATCCTATCACCACCACCTTCAAATGCGTCACAAATCCAGCCACCTCTCCCTCCTCTGCTGTCAGCATTCTGGTCCGAGCTGCTTCTTCTCACACCTGGGGCCCTGCAACAGCTTGCTGACTGTCTCCTGCCTTCGCTCTGCCCCAGCCTCTTCTCAGCTGACGAGCCTTTAAAGATGTCACTTACATCATGTTACTCCTCACTCAAAACCCTTCAATGCCCCCCATTTCTACTAAAAGTACAAGGCCCTACTGATCCACCCCAGGCTCCTTTTCCTCTCTGACTCCATCGTATCTTCTACTTGCTCTTCTCTCACTGCTCGGGTCACTTCCCTCCAGCCACGCCAACCTCCTTGCTGCTCCTTAAATACTGGCCTGAGGACCTTTGCACCTGCTACTCCCTGTGACTGGGACGCTCTTCCCCCCAGACATACACAGGTTCACCCCCTCACTCCCTCCACACCTCTGATCAGTGTCACCTCAGCAAGGCCTCCCTGACCACCTATATAAAATAACAACCACAAAGCTCTGCTTGTTGTTCTCCACATCTCTATTACCCAATGTAATAGTGTGTTTATTTCTTTATTATTTTACTGTGTATCTCCCTGCATTTTGATTGTAAGTCCCCTATCAGGACAGGGGCTTTGAGTAGTCATTCATATCACAGATGCTTAAAAAAAATACTTGCCAAATGAATGAGTATTGGAATTTTTATAAAGGTATGCAGATTAAAAAAAAAAAAAAAGCTGTAGCTAGGTGCAGTGGCAGCAGCATGCACCTGCAATCCCAGCTACTGGGAAAACTTGGGCAGGAGAATCATTTGAGCCCAGGAGTTCAAGGTCAACCTGGGCAACACAATGCAACCTTATCTCTAAAAAGACATAAAAAATAAATAAAACGGCTTTTAAGATAAGGTACTGCAGATGCAGATGCAAACCCAAGCGGGGAGACATCACCCCTAACCTTTTGTCTCCTGTGATTCAAATTCAAAACCTCAAAATGTCAACCCTCATCCTATTTTCTGCTGTGAATCACTTGATGGCTGACATTTAAATGCATGACAAGCTCTTAGGGGTGAACTTGGAACTACATATAATTCCCCAGATTCCACTATCACGCCACCCTTTCTGACCCACTCGGAGAGCATATAGGAATTCTTCTGCCTCGCCCGTTGCTGTCCTGGCTAGGCCACAAAAATCATTCCCCTCATTCTTCCAAGGACTCTATAAAGAGAAAAGGGAGAAAGAAGGAAACTAAAAGGCAGTGGCCAAGTCATGAACAAAATGTTTTACATGTACAATCTCATATAAGCATCTAGAAGTTAAGTATCATCATCATCATCATCTTTATTAGAGTTATCTTTCTAACCAGGTGCTGAAGGTGCCCAGCTAAGTGGCTGAGCTAGGAGAAAGCCGAGTCCTGACAAGCTCCAAAGCCCAGGCTCTTGCAATACCCCTCATGGCACCTGATGCCTGATTCTTCCTCCCGCCTGTCCTGACACCACCAGCCAAGGGCTTCGACGACACAGTGATGTTTCCTCCTCGTTACCTTGGCAGGCTCTCCCGATGAGAACATCCAGTCTACCTTGGTCACTTGTTTCTCATCTGTGCTACGGAAAACACATCCCATCGGAGTCGAATCACCCACATGGACCGTGAACTCTGAGGATAAAAGAGAAAATCAAGTGAGGCCCAAGGTGTAATCTAGAGAAGCCAAAGAATTTCTATAAAAGATAATAATTTCTATAAAAGATAATTTAGCCAAAGACCCTCAGCAGCAAAAATCACCGTTGCCGCCAAACACTGCACATATTCCCTCCGTAGATGATCCAGATGAATCCATGTGGACAAAGTACTCAGAGGCTCCTCACTCAAACCAACATGGCACCATCCCAAAGGGTCCAGAATACCCTTAAATGCCCACACATGCCAAACCTGAGGGTTTCTGCAGTCTTCATACTGCAATAAACATTTTCTGATCCCCTTTAATTCCCTCCTCTTTCCTCTTCTTCGGAATTCCTCTCATGAACCCCAATTCCATATCCCGTTTGTACTAAAGGAAGTATGAAAAATCTCAAAGCCCCCACTTTCTGTTCATCAACTTAGATACCCATATCCGCTTAGCATAAACAGGAAGTGGAAAGTTATAAAACTCTCATTCTTATATATAACCCACCAATTCTCCTAACTGAAAATAATGAATCATGGGTAACTTTCTTGGACTTCTTTTATTCCTTTTACAAGTTGTCTTAGGACTTGCTTAAGACTTAGTTCTGGCTTCGGTACAGGTCATAAGACTCCCTGCTAATTAGGCCAAGAAGGCAGACAGCTCTCTCCTGACTCTTCTTTCTGTTCCAACCCTTCCCTCTCCTGCTGCAGCCTCCCCACGTGACCCCTTGCTTGCTTCTGGCTTCCCAACTCCTAGCCTCTCCCGCTGCCCATTTGTATAAGCTGCTGACCCATCATGTATCTAATGCATAACTTGGAGGTCCCTGAAAACAAAAAGAAATAGAAAGAGGGTTCTGACTTCTCAGTAATGCTCTGCACAAATCAACCCTAAAGTTGATTAAGAGAGGAAAGAATGGTGTATAGGGAGACACAGGCCTAGGTCTTACCTGGACAGACTTCCTTCAAAAGAGCATGCAGCAAAGCTCATGAGGGAACAAACAGAGTACATAAGCCAGGCTTTCCCCCAACCTGTTTCCCTGAGAGAACATTAACTTCCTGCCCAGCAGGAAAGATGCAAAATGAGAGGAAAGCAAAAGAAAATATTATGAACTCTAAATTCTATGAAGGGAATTACTTTGAAAGTAATAAAAATTTACTCCAAAGAATACAAGGAAGGAAAGAAATCCTTCTAAATCCACCAGCACGTTAAGAACTAATCTCTATTTTTAAAATACAATAATGATAACTGAACATTCTGAGTGCTTTCAAAGCACCAGGCACGTGCTAGACACCTTACCCACAGTATATCAGTTAGTCATCACAATATTTTGAGGTATGCACTACTACTCTCCCATTTTACAGAATAAGAAAGTGAAAAAGCCCAAAGCGACGTGGTCAGTAAAAGGTAGCACTCAAACCCAGGCCCAAGTAAAAACAAAGCCCAAGTTTGCTCACTCGCTATAATGTACCATGCCACATAAGCAGAAGGATGGCTGATTCCAGAGCAAAAGTATAGGAAGTTAATATTATTATTATTATTATCTATGGCATTTAAAATAAGAACTAAGAAAAAGAAATTAAAGTAGTAGAATCACAGGAGAATTATACACTGAAGGGTAAACTTTGCAGAGAAAATTATAGATGACTGTAAAAATGGAGTTTCCACAAGGACAGAGACTATCTACATAAAGGAGGTTGAACAACTTTGTGCTGGGCCACGTGGCAGAATTGTCAGGGGTAAGATCTATTCCCATTCCGGCTGGAAGAAAAAAATAAATACAGATCGCTCACTAGCCTACTGAGGAAATGTCTAATTACCCCTAACATTGTTCTAGACTGCTTCCATGAATTCTTCCACTCTTAAAAGTGGCTCCTTTTGGTTTCTTCTGTGTCACTTCTAAGCAAGAAAAGGCTATGCTTGTAAAGACAGGTGTTCAGGCACCAACAAAGGCAGAAAAAGGAAGCATAACGACACTCCCTGGGAGAACAAAGGCATCCGATTTCATTCCTCTTCTTGGAGAACCACAGCTTTGGAATTAAGAGAAAAATGGCAACAAAAAAGAAAAAAGGAAAGATTCAGAGAGGGGCCAAGGCTACCCTCTATACCTCATTTTTTAGAAATCAGATTCAAGTGAAGGATGATGATTCAAGAATTTCATTCATTAGACAAATGTTTATCGATTGCTTACTCTGTACCAGGCACTGTAGCCAGAGCTGGCCAAGGGACAAGAACATAGCTCTAGGCAAGCAGAGAAGACACAACTGCAAACATGTGAGGAGTGTCATAGAAGAAGAGGTCAGGCTGCTCCAGGGGGGCCTCAGCAATTGAGCTGAGAGGCTGAGGCCCTAAGCTAGCTGGGAAGAGGAGGCCCCAGATTCTAGCTCCCTAACTAGACTAAAAGCTTTGCTGAGGCCATGGACCATTCCTTCTATTCCACACCCTTAAAGAATACATCTAGGCTGGGCGTGCCTTGGCTCACACCTGTAATCCTAGCACTCTGGGAGGTTAAGGCGGGAGGATCGCTTGAGGTCAGGAGTTGAAGACCAGCCTGAGAAAGAGCGAGACCCTGTCTCTACTAAAAACAGAAAAAATTAGCCGGGTGTGGTGTGCACATCTGTAGTCCCAGCTACTCGAGAGGCTGAGACAGGAGGATCACTTGAGCCCAGGAGTTTGACGTTGCTGTGAGCTAGGCTGATGCCATAGCGCTCTAGCCCAGGCAATAGAGTGAGACTCTGTCTCAGGGGGAAAAAAATAAAAAGAATGCATCTAGTTCTGTGGCTTGCAAACCCTTTTTTCAGTTATAATATCTTTATTATAAATGTTTATATCAATAAGGCAAAACTAAACTTTAGAGACACTGGATGTCATTAATTTGGATGTCACTAGTTGATTATAAAAGACAGACATGGAAATATTTACATGATGAAAGATTTCAGAACTTCAGTGGAATGGAGGGCTTCACATGAGGCCATTTCAATAGTGATTTATTTCAGTCTACATACTTCCCAAGAATGTCACCATCTCTAAATAAGAAATGATCACTGTCACCTAGAACTACTTTGGTACCTCCATAGTCTGGATTCTGAGAGAAGAATTTGATCTCCAACTTTCACACTAACTGTTTGAATCTCCCCACCCTTTCCTTTAGAGCCTGATCCAACAGCTCCTACTGTGGCTTGTAATACTCTTCCTTGAGATTTTTCTGGAAGCATCACACCCCTTTTGGTTACAGTCTCAGCTGCATTCCCTTCAACTAATGCTCAAAGAGAGCAAAGAACTTGGGCCTATCCTGCCCTGCCATGACTTAGGCCACCACAGCTCATACGCTCACTTTTAAACTGTTGTAAAGCAGCACGAATCCTTTCTTCAAACAGAATCTCAACTGACACCCCAGTGAATTAAACAGGAAAAAGGAAAAGGACTTTGGTTGCAATGGAGGTGGGAGCGTGGGGTCCTATCTGAGTCTTCTACCCACTCTGCCCTACCTACCCTTTGCCCCCTGAGGTTCCTTGGAGCTCAAGGGTGGTGCAGAGCACAGTGCTAAAACCACCCATCTACCAGCGCCACACCCTCCATTCACAAATGGGAAAGTGAGGTGCAAAGAAGTTAGAAAGATCTGCTCATTTCTTTCATAACCCCCAGAACATCTAACACAGGTGTGTGGCGTAAAACATGGATGCAGCATCAGTGTGAACAACTGATGGCAGTATCAGGGTATAGCAAAAAGAACCATGGACTTTGCAGTCAGAGGAGCCAGGCTGCCGGTACTGGTTATGCCATTTAATAAATACGTGTCCTTAAGCAAGTCACTTAACCTCTCCAAGCCTCAATTACCTCATCTGTAAAATGGAAAGAACAATGCACCCTTCACAGCACAGGGCTTTCGTGAGGAGGAAATATGTTTAAAGTAATACTGAAATAGTAATTATTCTTGTTATTTAATATAATAGGCCAGGCGTGGTGGCTCACACCTGTAATCCTAGCACTCTGGGAGGCTGAGGCAGGAGGATCGCTCGAGGTCAGGAGTTCAAAACCAGCCTGAGCAAGAGCGAGACCCCGTCTCTACTAAAAATAGAAAGAAATTAATTGGCCAACTAAAAATATACAGAAAAAATTAGCCGGGCATGGTGGAGCGTGCCTGTAGTCCCAGCTACTCGGGAGGCTGAGGCGGGAGGATCACTTGAGCCCAGGAGTTTGAGGTTGGGGTGAGCTAGGCTGAAGCCACGGCACTCTAGCCCGGGCAACAGGGTGAGATTCTGTCTCAAAAAATAAAATAATAAAATAATTATCGTCTCGCTCTGTGGTGAGCACTTAGCCCAAAGGCTGGCATGTGCTTAAGGAACCAGCCCCCTTGCTCCTGCATACCCAACCTCTTGCCCCCCGGCCCCTGTCTAAGGCAGCATGCGCACCTCTGGGCTCCTCTGGCAGCACGTGCAGCACCACTGCTTTCTTGAACACCGAGCTCTCCCTGTCGACGCGCATCTCACAGGTGTAGTTGCCCTGGTCGGCCTCTTGCACGTCTTGGAGCAGGAGAGAACCATCATGGCGCAAGATGTTGCCCGCCAACGACGCACGGTTCTGGAAGCGCCCCACAGGCACGCTGAGGTTGGCATAATAGTATAGCACATATTCATCCTGGAGGGCAACACGACATTGGAGAAAATCAAAAGAGGTGCCACACCTAGGAGTGTGGATCCAAGAGACCCTGTTCTGCGGAGGCAGCATAGCTACCATCGTCATCGTGATCAAAAATAGTCAGTACTCAGTTGATAGTAATAATGTGCCAGGCAGTATTCTCATTTGCACAAGGTCTGTGACTCATTTTCTACAAAGACAAATGGTGAAATATGGCCCACACATTTTTATTTCTGACATTTTAAGGTTCAGTGCAATACCCACTCTGAAGATCACTCTGGGATTTCAAATTCACAGCCTTTGAAAACCAACTCTAGTCTTCGCCCTGTTTTCTGCCATGGCCCCAGCTCAGATGGCATTCAAATGCTTGATCTACCCCTGGCATGGCCTGCTGGCAGTGTGTCATTACCATGAAAGAAGGAGTCATCGACAGGAAATGGCTCCAGGCTGGGAGGGGAGTCCTGGGCAATTCTTATGTCTACTTGCACCACAGGCCTATTCCTCTTATAATAATAAATAGAAATAAAAATTTGAGTGAGAATAGCATTAGAGGGATAATATGGAATATGCTCTAAACTACAAAAACAATATTTTATTTGCAAATGTTGGACTTTATTGTTAGTAACAAAGTACTTGCAACATATTTCACAAACGATCCTGATATACACATATCTTCACAGAATCTCTGATGAGGCTGACTACGTTGTTTCCTACTCCAAAGAGCTCTATGAAAGAACCTCCCCCAGCCACGCTGCATCTGCTAATCCAGACAATTCAAGCAGCCACAAAAGAGAAAAAGATGATTCTCCAGCACATACATGGGGCAGTAGAATGCTGGGAAAACCCATCCTCCTCCCCATCCAAAAGTAGATAATTGTGACATTGTTCTTATGCCTAGGTGAGAGCTCTTCTGTCTAGACCCTGGTAATCACCCCCTTCACCCACCTATGCTACCCTAGAAAGGGCAGGAGATAGAGGAAGGAAACTAAGGGGACTTCATGTGCATGTCCCTAGGTCCCCAGCTTCCTGAAAGTGAAGCAGCAACAGCATTACTATTACCTTTCTCTTTGCAAATCAGGAAGCTGAAGCTCAGCAAGGTTGAGTAACTTGCCCGGCTGATCAGGCAGCCAAGTGGCTGAGCCAGGAGGAGGCCCAGTTGACATGCTCCAAAGCCCAGACTCTTGCAACACCACCCTCCCCATGGCACCTGATGCCTGGTTCTCTCTCTCCCCTCTGTCCTGACACCATAGGCCAGGGGCTTCTACTGCACAGCGGTGTTTCCTCCTCGTTACCTTGGCAGGCTCTCCCGATGACAGCATCCAGTCTACCTTGGTCACGCGTTTCTCTTCTGTGCTCCCCAAAACACATCCCATCAGAGCCGAATCACCCACGTGGACTGTTAGCTCAGAGGAGGAAACAGTCAAGTCATTCAGGCCTGTCAACGGAAAAGAAGCCAAACTCTGTAAAATAATTTTAGAGATTTATTCTGAGCCAAACTTGAGGACCATGACCCGGAGCCACATCCAAGAAGCCTTGAGCAAGTGGGCTCACTAAGGTTTGGTTACAGTCTGGTTTTATACATTTCAGGGAGACAAGGATTACAGGTAAAGTCATAAATCAATACGTGGAAGACACACATTGGAAGGCGTACATATGTTGGCCCAAAAAGATGGGCCATCTCCAAGCGGGGAACTTACAGGTTATAGGTGGGTTTAAAGATTCTTTGACTTGTAATTGGTTAAAGACAAGAAGCTTTGTCTAAAGGCTTGGAGTGTTTTAAGATTAGCAGCTTCCATAATTAGAGACAAGCCAGGTAGCACATATTTGGTGTGTAAATTGAGGACCTGTGGGTTTGTCTTGCATACCCTTAGGCCTGTTAATAGGTTACAGAGGATATCTCCAAAAAGGGAGAGGGGCATGATGTGGCATGTCTGACCTCCCTTCTCACATGGCAGGCAATTTAGTTTTAGGATATCCCCTTGGCCAAGAGGGGGTCCATTCAGTCAGCCAGTGAGGAGGAGCCTTAAGATTTTATTTTATGTAAGCCTAGCTCTCTGGGAGGCTGAGGCGAAGCAGGAGGATCACTCAAGGTCAGGAGTTTGAAACTAGCCTGAGCAAGAGCAAGACCCAGTCTCTATTAAAAATAGAAAGAAATTAATTGGCCAACTAAAAATATATATAGAAAAAATTAGCCGGGCATGGTGCCGCATGCCTGTAGTCCCAGCTACTCGGGAGGCTGAGGCAGAAGGATTGCTTGAGCCCAGGAGTTTGAGGTTGCTGTGAGCTAGGCTGATGCCATGGCACTCTAGCCCGGGCAACAGAGTAAGACTTTGTCAAAAAAAAAAAAAAAGATTTTATTTTAGTTCACAGACCCAAGGAATAATCTATAGAAGTCAAAGTCAAAAACACATATCATTTAGACAAATACCTTCAACAATATAAATCAATCACCAAGTACTAAACACCCTCTTCCCTCAAGAATCTAACATAGACAAAGTACTCAAAGGCCATTCACTCAAACCAACGTGACATCCCCCAGGCTAAGAGAAACATCCTCTAGTTATTTATTTGGCTCAAGTCAGAGGGTTCTGCAATCTTCATCCTGCAATAAATGCTGTCCGTCTCCCTTCTCCTATCCAAACCCTTCCCCTTTTCCAGAATTCCTCCTCCCAACCTTTCTAAAGAAAGAAGGGAAACTCTGAAGTCCCTCCTTTCTGCTCATCAATTTAGACACCCACATCTACTCACCATAAACAGGAAATGAGGTGTTTCTTGCTCTTAATTTTCCCACTGGTTCCCTATTCGAAAAGCCAATTCATGGTACCTTTTGTTTACTTCCTCCTTTTCCTTTCTTTAGTTCCTTTACAAAAGCTTGCAAAGGCAATATATGTAATCAAAATGTTTATACCCCCATAATATTCTGAAATTTAAAAAAAATTAAAAATAAAAATAAAAATGTTAAAAAAGCTTATCTCTGCATTTGCTGGCTGCTTCTGGCTGTGGTACAGTTCCCTGTAATTATTAGGTCAATATAGAGTGCAGCTTTCTCCATGAATTTCTTTTGTGTTGTCCCTCTCCTGCCTAGTTCCCCTCTAGCTTTGCCAACAGTCTGCAGCTTTCCAGCCTCGGGCAGCTCACACAGGGACCTCCGTCCTTATCTGTATGTTGCCCAATCAATTTCAAGAGGTCACTAAAAGAGCAAACCATTCCATTTCTGTTTTCATGCAAAGAGACAATAAAATCAAGAAAGACACATTTAGATGCTGCCCAGTTCATATCAAAGAATAGCCAAGGGAAGGCATTTAGGAATGAACAGAAAATGTGCCCGAATTTTCATCCAAGCTGTTTCCCAGAGAGAAGCGAGTTCACTTCCTGCCCAACAGCAGGCTCACCCAGCAGGGAGGACGCAAAAGAAAACATGAACTCTAAAGCCTTTGGAGGGAATTATTTTCAAAGAAATCAAAATTAGCTCCAACAACTCTTTGGAATTTTCCATGAGAAACAAGTGAGTGAAAGTAGTTAAAAGTAGAAGAAGCAAATTTATTTTAACGTTAAGAGCACGGTATGTAGAATTAAACAGGGTCGGGTGTGGTGGCTCACGCCTGTAATCTTAGCACTCTGGGAGGCCGAGGCAGGAGGATCGTTTGAGCTCAGGAGTTCGAGACCAGCCTGAGCAAGAGTAACACCCTGTCTCTACTAAAAATAGAAAGAAATTAACTGGCCAACTAAAAATATATAGCAAAAATTAGCCGGCATGGTGGCATATGACTGTAGTCCCAGCTACTCAGGAGGCTGAGGCAGGAGGATCGCTTGAGCCCAGGAGTTTGAGGTTGCTGTGAGCTAGGCTCACGCCATGGCACTCTAGCCCGGGCAACAGAGTGAGACTCTGTCTCAAAAAAGAAAAAGAAAAAAAAATTAAAAATTAAACGGAGGACGGCCAGAAAGCAACAGCAGTAACCGCAGTGAAGAAAACTTGATGTCTGAAGGGCAATCTCAACAGACAGATGGCTGAAGAACATGAGACTTTCTACAGAAAAGGAAAATCTCTCCACAAAGAAGCACAAACCCCCCGATGCCACTACACTGCTGTAGACAGAGGTGGGCTAGCTCTCTGGATAGAAGAGAGATTGCAGAACCCTGCCAGCTGCTTCCCAGACCTCTGGGAAAATGTCTAAATACCCTGAGATCATCATTCCCCTGCTTGTGTGGGAAAAGTTCTCCAATACGTACCATTTTTGTGTGTGTGTGTTTTGCTCCTGGAATTGGAGCAAAGGCAAGCCTTTTGTGTACTTTGCTGAGTCAGTGTTTCGGTCCCCATCCACGGTTCAGAAGATAATAATAAAGAGGAAAAATAAAAGGCTGTGAGCAAAGCACCTACTAATTTCTTCTCCCCACAGAGCTATGTCCATGGAATAGTGAGAAAGACAAGGCAGGGAAAGGATGAAAGAGTTAGGAAGGAGTGGAGATGAGCTGTAGCGAGCGGCCTGAACCCTCAGGTCAGGTATGAACAAGAGACTACAACCTGGTCTGAGCCGGCAGCCAGGAGAGGCTGCCCAGGAGGAAGTGAGTGCGAGGGGAAACCGAAGGATAAGGAAGCCCTGGGCAGGCTTGCTGGGGTGAGGTGTCGGAAGGAAGTTTCCAGGCAAACCATCACAAATTGGGAAAGAGCTCAGTGCGTTTGAGGAACCGCAAGAAGGCCCACGTGACTACAGCCTAAAAACAATGAAAGGGGCTCTGGGCCTCTCTTTCTCTCTTTGGCAATTCCAGTTCCTGATCTGAAACCAGCTGTGGTTTTAAAGACAGCAATTTAAACTGCAGGAACGCCATAGAGAAACTTCCTTTGTGTCACAGAAGAGGGTCCCAGAATACCTGATAAGGACCCAAAAGCATTTTATTTCCAATAGAAACAGAGGAAGATTCGGCTGTCCAAGAACATGTATGTTAACTGGCTTCTAAAATAGCTGTTTCGGCAAAACTGTGAAGTTCCACGTTAGGGTTTCCATTTTCAACAAACTCAGGGGAATTGAAAATATGTGAACTTGGCTTTTAAAAACACATAAGACTTACAAGAAATCATATACCCCCCTCGGTCCCTTGGCTTCTACTTACCCAGTAACACTGGAATCAGGATGAGTTTCAGTGGGCAAAACATGCTGTTCTCCACTTTTCAATCTTAAGATAAAAGAAAAGCAATCAGAAAATCATGTCAAGATGAGTTCATTAATTTAACGAACCAACAGTGAGGGTCTATGTGGGCCAGCCTCTGTCTGAGCATTAGGCTGCGGCCCTGAACAAGGAAGACTAGGTCCTGGCTCACTTGCAGTTCACATGTAGGGGGAGATGGGAAAAAAAGCAAGCGAATGAATGAATACGAAAATACTAGATGTCAGTAAGTGCTATGACGAAACAAAACAGTGGTGTTCAGAAAGGCGCTTGGGGGCTGCTATTTAGACTGGCCATAAGGGAAGATTAGGTAAAAACTGCTTTTCAAGAGAAAAAAAAGCAAATGATTACAGGACACCCTTGAGAGGACAACCCTAGACTCTCCACAACCTCCACATTTCACACAAACAAAAAATCACGGAAACCGAGCCTGAAATTTTCACCCATCTCTCCAACTACATTAGAATTACTACTTTTAAACACATAAAGAATGCTCAGGCCATGTTGGAAAGGAGATATAACAAATAAGGAGACATTTTTAATTTTTATTTATTTATTTTTTGAGACAGAGTCTCGCTCTATCACACTGGGTAGAGTGTAGCGGCATCATCATAGCTCACTTCAACCACAAACTCCTGGGTTCAAGTGATCCTCCTGCCGCAGCCTCCCTAGTAGCTGGAACTATAGACCCAACTAATTTTTCTGTTTTTAGTAGAGACGGGGTCTTACTCTTGCTCGGACTGGTCTTGAACTTCTGACCTCAAGTGATCCTCCCACCTCAGCCTCCCAGAGTGCTAGGATTACAGGTGTGAGCCACTCGCCAAGCCGATAAGTGGAAATTTTTAAACTCAATTAAGGTATTAACCAAGATCCATGACACAGAAAGCCACATGAAAGGTCCATAGTGAACTTTTGGGTTTTTTTTTTTTTTAACTTTTTTAGGGAAGGGCAGTATGGGGAGAATGAGAATTTGGCTGTGTGGGGGCAAAAGTATTTCTTTAAGGTCTATATTATCTCTGTGGTATTAATTTCATTGCATTCACTGGCTCCTGGAAAGGGGTTCACTGATCTACACAATGACCCCACATTTTCTTAGCCCAACAGAAGAACTGTAGCTCTGGCAGTTACAATTCAACCAGTCTTAGGTTCCTACCTACTACTGTGCTGCTCTCAGCCACCATCCCTGCACCCCTAGCCACCCTGCCACTGGAGGAATTCCACCTCAGAATCTGCTAAGAGGAAAGGTCTCTTTATTGCATTAACATCAAGGTACCCCACCTGGCTCTGTTGGGACATCTGGTACATATGGTGGCCATTTGAATTTGTAAAAATTGATCACCTGAGAGATTCTTTACCTGTGTTCAAATCAACAAAATCTTTCACCTGGAAATTGGGGTCAAACGGTTCCCACTTATGCAAAGAGGTCAGTTGAGCTTGCTGGCCTCAGTTTCCTCGTCTATAACATGGGGATGATAACACCTCCAGGGAGTTGGCTGTGCTCCCTTCTCTGCCTGCAAATGGCACATAGCACTGGGGCATTCCCCCCAGCAGCTTGCCACCTGCATGGAGGGGTAACCACTGACTTACATGTCTGCCATCAGCCCCTGCTCAAGTCTGCATGTGCTCAAGGGCAGCACCAGATGTGTCTTCTTTATATTTGTGTCCCATTCCTCTGCTACAGCACCTACAAAGTGCCTGGCACATACTAGATGAATGCTCATAGCTGCCAATGTGACCATTAAATTAAAATCAACTTAAAGTCACCCTGCAACTCCGCCGCTTCATTCTAAGGGGAAACCAGTGACTCTTAAAAGATTCTGAATCTCAGCACGAAACCCGAGTTGCTCAGAGCCACACCCAAACCATCTTCAAACAAATTCTAAGAAATGTGCAATCTGATGAATTGAAAGTACCCATTTTCTGCCCTGAATAGTCAAATGCACCATTAGAACTCTGTGAATGAAAAGAGAAACAATGATTTTAGCAGAAAAAGCACTGAATTGGAGTTTTAAAAAAATTCACTTCCGGATTCCAATCTTTCATTAACTAACTCTTTGTTTGATCTTTGGGAAAACTGCTCAACATCTCTGGGCCTTGTTTTTAACATTAAAGGATCAGACTGTTTTTCCCCCCTAGTTAATAAAGCGGCACACTAGAAAATCAGCAGTTGATATGTGATAAACCAGAGGTGTCCATGTGCCAGACACTGTCTGAGTGCTCTACACATTAACTCATTTAATCCTCACAGTAACCCTGTGAAGTTTTACAGATGAAGAAACCGAGGCACAGATTGGCAGAGTGACTTGCCTAAGAACACATAGCAAGTGGCAGAGCCGGGATATTAGACCCAGACATTCTGGATCCGAGCCTGGGTCTTTGCCATACCATACTGTTTCTCCATGTTTGTGAAAGTAATCAATATTTTACAGCAAAGCTTCTCTGGACTCTGTCAAAACAAAATAAATCTGCTCCACCTGACCGAACGTTCTTCCGATCCCCATTGCTCATGCCTTCGCCCAGTTAACTCCTACTGATCACTCAGGTCTCAAGTTAAATGTCCTGTCCTCAGGAAACCTGTCCTCACCCATTCATCCCAAGTCAGGTCCCCTAGCCACACGTCCTAATAGTACTGTCCTCCTTTCCTTTAGGCCATTTGTCAAGACTTCTAGACTTCTAATTATCTATTTATTTTTTGTGTGTGCTCATTTGATTAAGGTCCTGCTCCCCACCCCCACCCCCAAGACTACACGCTCCAGGAGGCCAAGAGGGGTGGGTGCCAATGGGCCACCACATCTCCGTGGCCAGCATGGGATAAGGTACAGAAAGCACTCAGCAACTACTTGTCAGCTGAGTTCATAATACCTTGGACATTTACCAAGAACACTAGTCAAGTTTAAATTTCCTAGTTAGTTGGCAAATATTTGGAAATTCCTATCTATATATCTATTCACACAGACACACACAAATTCTGAACTTTATATGTATATATATATATATATGTCTGAATAATAAAATTGTGGTTTCATATCTGTAATTAAAATGAATCTCTATTTTTAAAAATCCAACAAAAGCTTTCAGAAGGACTTTAAGCATCTTGAAAATAGATATCATTTAAATTCTCAATTTCTACCCTGCTTCCTTCTCTTTCCAAAAGATCCTGATTTAATCTCATCAGTAGATGTTCTTGAGATGATACTGCATAGTAAATTATCTCCTATGTTGGCCAAATGTTTTGATGTGAGCTTGTGGTTCTTTTATAATATAACTCCTGGCAAATATCTTCTCTCACTTCTGGGGGTTTGTAACTATCAGGATGGGGGTTTGTAACTATCACTTCTGGGGGTTTGTAACTATCCTATAATTAATAGTGTAGCGGATTAAAAATGGGCAAATGATCTGAACAAACATTTCTCAAAAGAACACCCACAGATG